AGCGTATAACATTAATTATTATTTTGGGACAAGACGATAAATTATAATTATTTGGTGAAACAATGCCGAAAATGATATAAAAATTTACACGAATTCAAACATAGTGTTTAACTAAATCTGATTCTATTTTCAGGCGAAGTACTGAGAACTACACAGATTAACTGGATTACTCTAGGAATCAAGAAGACAACATTTTGACAATGCAATAAGATTCTACGCAAATCATTTTTATCAACGGTCCTTGAAAATACATCGTTTTTATTTAATTTTACTTTTCTGTAAATTCTTCTCCAAAATTAAAATAAACGTTAAAATTGATAATTCATCATTACTTGATTTATAGAAGTTTGCTGTTAAAAACCAGTTTTGACAAATACAATATGTACATGTATAACTATATTTTTTACAAGGAAGATTTTATTTGCATGAGTTGTATGAATTAAAGGTATTCCAATGCTTGCAGTCCCTATACATGTATATACGGTGGAATGTACAACGCCTGCATTGCATCAGTCTTTGGAGTTTAATCATTGACAGAATTAGCACTTATGTTCAGTCGGCCAATCCCTGCATTGACTGACTGATGTGCAGTCGGCCAGTGCCTGCATTGAATGACTGATGTGCAGTCGGCCAATGCCTGCATTGACTGACTGCTCAGTTGGCAAATGCTTGTATTGACTGACTGATGTGCAGTTGGCCAATGTCTGCATTGACTGACTGATGTGCAGTCGGCCAATGCCTGCATTGACTGACTGTGCAGTTGGCCAATGCCTGCATTGAGTGACTGTGTGCAGTCGGCCAATGACTGCATTGACTCACTGTGCAGTCGGCCAATGCCTGCATTGACTGACTGCGCAGTCGACCAATGCCTGCATTGACCGACTGATGTGCAGTCGGCAAATGCCTGCATTGACTGACTCTGTTCAATGCAGGCATTGACTGACTCAAGGTCCAATGCAGGCATTGGTCGACTCTCTAGAGAGCCAATGCAGGCATTGGCCAACTCTCTAGAGAGCCAATGCAGGCATTGACGGACTCTCTTGAGAACGTGAGAGAGTCAGCCAATGCCTGCATTGGCCGTTGAGAGCCTTGCAATGCCCGAGTGACCATAGATAGAGAGATAGAGAGGGAAAATGAGAAAGAAAGAGAGATTCATATTGCTTGCATTGCATTGGCCCTTTTGATAGTCGTGCAACCTGCATTGGCCAACGATAAACACATTGCCTTAAGAAATTGCGACGAAATTCTGGCATTGACTTAAGAATAATAGCCACCACTGCATTGCAAGTTTATTCACTTTCCTAGGTTTAAAATACATTTTCTATTCCTTTAACGCCAAATTGCATTAGTTAATTACATTTAGAACAAATTCGATTGCATATGTGATTAGGATAAAACACAAATCAGAATAAGCTAAAACTTGCAAGAAAATGAATGGAGATCATGCCATTGTTCCCGTCGTTACTTGTATCATATGAATTTGGAAATAAGTGAATAAAACCATACCATTTGTTTCGGACTAATTTTGTAATCATAAACAACTTCTTTTATAAATCTATTAAATTATATTAACTTTGGTAATAGAAGTTAAAATGTTTACCAAATTGCCCATACCATCGAACTTAAATTAAAAAAAAATTAGACAGATAAAAATTAGTTGAGACCCCATTATAATCAACAATGAAATCAAATATTGTTTCTAGAAGATATTCAATTAGTTCGCGAACTTTTTGATCACTCCTCGTACATAAATGAACAGATAGTACATGTACTTTGTATATTACAAATGAACTTGTATGCATCACTTTGTGTTGTGGTATAAAGATAACAAATTTAAAATAATTATTTAAGTTTTACAGTCTTTATAAATTTCAATTTGTATTTTATAGAAATAAAGGAGGTATGTATATTGACATCATGGATGTGCTAATCAATCCGTGAATTAAAATGGAAGGAAACACTTTTCAGTTACTTAATAATCTGATTTGCAGAATCTGAAGGGACGTATTATCGCAACTTTTAAAGAATTTTCCATGTTTTCGTAGAGTATTTTCCATATACTTATCATGGGATCCACAGTGGTACAAGCATATAGCACAGTCAAAAAAGAAGAACGGGGAGATATGCCATTGACATAGGATGAGTGTTTGACGATATGTGGGGACAGCTACTATAACTGTGTGTTGGTCGATTGTTATCAGGACAAGGACAACTGTAGAGATAGATGTACATTATCATTTCGTCAGTGTTATAAAGACTGTGACAGATATATCATCCTATCTACACAAAGTTTACCCGATAATGAAAACGATTTGTTTTAAGATGACGGTGTCTAAGAAACATTCTGACATTGGACGTTTTTGATAAAACCAAATAGCCACATTTTGGTGATTTTTTTTCTATTTCATCTGAAGAAAAACATTCTCATCAAAGTGTCTCTATTTGGGTTAGGGTTAGGGTTAGGAATAGGGCTAAAAACGAAGATGGCTAATCTAGGCCATGGCCAATCTAGGTCAAATGAAAGTGGAAAGTGAAAGTCACGGATACATGCAAAAGTATAGGAAAAAATGGAATTTTCCGAAGCTCATAATTTTGTTATTTATGATCGGATGAAAACGAGTTTGGTGTCGTTGGAAAGCTAAGAAAACGGACAACATGACTAAGTCAAAGTCATAAAACCTAATTGTCAGGAAAAGGAAGAGAAGTTGCTTCTTATTTACACCGCAGATTGTGCTTAGAATTTGACAAATTGAGAATTTCTGACCATTTTCAACCTCCCAGTTCTGGAGAATGGTACGCAATACACAGACAGCACTTATGTTAATGACACACCCCGATATGGACTCCTAGAAACTGCAAAGAGTTAGCCAAAATACTTTCTCTCTCAAAAGATATTAATGACGAAACATGTGGAAATTGTACTAAAGTCTTAGAAAATTTGAAAGATCTGTCGGACAGATTTTAGAGGTCAGATCAAGACAATCTGGACGTTGCTGAGAAGACCTGAGTGAGCGCTTTTCAAGCGCTAACAAAACAAGCTTGGCTGGGAATGCAGTGGAAATTTTGTTCTTGCCCAATTTCTATTTGGGCTTACAACTCGAAAACGGTGCGAGCTAGACCCCTAAATGTCTGTTATTTCAGAAGTTGTGTAGAGTTCAAGGATTATGTACACAAAAGCTCAGCCTCGCAGCTCCAAGGGCGTGGATCCTATGGACAGGGGAAGAAAATTTGCACTAACTCCGGATGGACCGGAAATGGACGTTGCCAGAAGTCGAAAAATGGGGACGAAAGAGGAATTTTCTGAATATGTGAGTCTACATAGGTGACAAAATCCTAAGCCCTTTCTCTACTTCTAAACCGGGTGAAAAGTGCTCAAAACGGGCTCCAAATGAGCACAAAATTGGCTGAGTCAGAACTTCCTCAGTTTTCAGTCAATTCTCAACTTCTTTGTATCACTGGCAAAGTCTTTCCAAGTTCTATCAAGAGCCTAAAGATGAGCATGGTAGGTGCAAGTAGATGAACGCTGTGAGAGTTGAAAATAGACCGTCCTTCAAGCGTTGGGTTCTACAACCCTTATTTTGCCGATTTACCCTTTACTTAGGCCTGAAATGTGCCGACACTGATTGTCATCATTGTGGTCTTATCTGCAGCTGTCAAATGAGAGTTTTCGCCAAAGTTTTTCAAAGTGTCGAAAGTTGTCGATAATTTTTTTCAAAGTGTCAAAGATTTCGATAAAGTTTTTCAAAGTGTCAAAGTTTTCGATAAGGTTTCTCAAAGTGTCAAAGGGATCACTTTAGTAAATCAAAGTTTTCAAAATGTCAAAGTTAAAACTATAGTTCACTATTGATTTTTTTATAAGGGTATAGCAATAACGGCCAGAAGAAAGGGTGGCACAGTATTTGCGTTTTTAAAAAATACACAATAAATTGTTTCATCGAATGCGTAGCATATAAAAGTACCGTATGAGTGGAAATTTTAGCGAGACGCAAATATAGTGATTTGTCCTTAAAAACTGGTAATTCATTTTTAGCGAGATGTTATTTTTTGCAATTTCAAAATACAATATCAAGAAGCTTTTACAAAGAAAACGTAATTAATTTTTAGCGACATTCAATTGAAGCGATCCCGGCTACACCCTCGCTAAAAATGCCAAAATTGAATCCTCGCTTACAATTCTTCCGATATGGTATTTAGAACACTAATGGATAATATATAAATAGTTGCTCATTTGCATGAAGTCTTTTAACTTTATCAAATAAGAACTAAAAAATAATCAAAGCTATAAGAATTCATTTTCCAACCATTTGAATTTATTTATCTAAATGTTAATTTCTTAGATTATATCTTAACAACATAAATGTGAAGTATTTTGCCTACCTTTTTCACGTCTTCTCTCTGCGATGACTTTCTGCGAATCTATGTCCAAGTCTGCATGCGCTATAAGAATTCATTTTCCAACTATTTGAATTTTAATTATCTAAATGTTAAATTCTTCGATTATATCTTAAGAGCCATTCTCTATAAGCACCAAAATTTGATAGAAAGCCATAGTCACCGATTTTAATAAAAACTTTGGTAAATTAATTCATACTACTAGTCAAGTATATTAGTATACGCAAAATGACGGGATACTGCTGTTTCTATGGAAACCAGCAAGTCATACTTTTGTCACATTTGCTATTATTTCCTTTATAATGTATGTGGCTGAAACTCATAAACGCAGCAACACAATTCAACAAAACTAATTCTGTAAAAAGATTATAGATATATAAGTTAACCTTCAAAAAATTGGAGATGTGTTATTTAAAATAAAGAAAATAAAGCCTTGTAAATTTGCTGTTTTTCAAGAGAAAAGTGCTAAATTTTATCAAGAGTTATTTATTCGTGTAACTCTTTTGTGTTTCCTGTGAAAAAAGGAATGTTTTTTGCCAGCAGTTTTTTGCCAGCAGAAGACTTTCAAATTGGTTTGCTGCTTCGTTTTTACAACAAATTCCACTTGTCAGAAGATGTATTTAATTTGAATTCAGTTGATATGAATAATAAGGACATAATACTAACAGAGTGTGGTATTTTGCCGTCCAGTTCTGAAAATAGGGAAATTTGTTCCACACATTTTTCTCTGACGTTGAAACAAAACAGTGACTGAGTGATGTACGTACGAAGAAGAAATTTGGTGTCAAATGCCATTCCTTATTTTAAAAAAATCTGGTGAATCATAATTCATTCCATGAGAAGCAGAAATCCAACAGACTGATCCCAGTCAATGGTGTACTCAAAATACACAGAGGCTAGAGCACTTGTTCTTCCTGGAACCTGTAAGTTTTATACAGTCAGTGTTTGCTAGTATGTATAGTGGAATATTTATTATTTTAAAGTGCACATTTCTGTCTTTGATTAAATTTTCTTATTAGGGTTTAAATAACATGATTAATGATTAAACAAATGTTAATATAAATTTTGATTTTAAAAATGGGTTAGGGGATGCTTTAATAAATTATTTTAACAAGCATATAGTACTTTTAAAAAACTATATTAAAACAAGATTTGTATGAATGATATATCTTTTGATTATCTGCTCAAATAAACTTGATTCAATTTGAACTTTTAGCTCTATGCACCAGCCTGTCTGATGAAGTTGAATGCTCAAACAATATGAAGAGGATGAAAATCTAGCAGACAATCAAAACAGGAAATATGATCAGGTTTGTAATTTATTATTCATTATGCAAGCTATCATTCATAGTTTAATTTGTCATTAAGAAATTTCATAATAATAATAAACAGTTTAAAAGTAATCAGAAAACAAATTGGAATAAAGATGTCTTTAATGAAAAAAAAAATTATACAAGACATCATCTAACAATGATTACAAGGTCACTGGTACATACGTGGTCTATTGGAAATATAGTAATCAAAAATAAATTATATAATTTACACCGAATAATTTGATTTATTTGATCAAATATTTTAGCAATATATATGTTATGTGTATTTTACAAAGTTCCAGGATAAACAATGTTGTAACAATAAAAATAATGTTTTTGTCACTACAGTAGAAGGGGTGCTTATTGTGCTTATTTATTTTAGGCTCAGCCACACCTTAATGAACATAAAGAGCTACTTCATTCAAGGCCATGATATGTTCTAACAGCTGATTCGATGAAAGAGGTACTACCGGTACATATTGTAGATCTCCATTGCAGGAGAAATGCCACACCAGAATTTTAATAGATCTTTTAAGACATCCCTTTTAAACTATGCCTGTATCAGCCTTGAGAGACCTGGGTATTAGCTTTTAATTATTTTATTCAATTTATTGGACATTTTCAGAGAAAATAATTTTAAAAATTTTTATTTGCAAACAAAATGTTTATGGTTTAAAATTTGATGTTTATTAATAAGTGAAAAATATGAAGGTCTATATTGCATGGTTAAAATCTTCAAAAAACAATTGTCACAACTAAAATGAACAATTTTAGTAGTCAGTCATTTAAAAAAAAATTAAATTAAATTGCAAAATATTTAAGAAATATTTTTTTGATATTTTGTCCAATCCTGATCAAATTTAAATAATCCCAAGGACGATTATCAAATCAAAAATACAGACATCATTTTCTTGCCTTGTTTATGTATATTAGCTACTACTAAGAATTTCATTTGGTTGTCAAGGTCATTAACTTTTTAACCCACATTACATACAATTTTATTTCAACATTTTTTTGTCTTAAAGATCTATGAAACAAAATTATGATGAGGCATATTTTCTAATTTTAATTTGCACTACACTGTATTAACCAGCACTGGTGAAGTTTAAACAGGAGTAAAAGATCTGATTTTAAAAGAGCTGTAAAAAAGTATGTGAGCCAATGCACAATAGTAATACCCTCACTCTGATGTGAATATACACTTAGTATCATGTTAATGTTAAACAAGTTCAATAACGGGCAGATGAAGGGAAATAGTAAGATTACAGAAATGAATTTAATCCTGCTATATTGCATGCCTCAGCAAAGAATGTGCTCAAGTTTCAATCATCTGCAATGACTAGTTGCTGAGAAAGTTGTTATAAAAAACAGGAAGTTGACATCAGATGGCATGCCTCAGTAAAGAATGTGAAAAAAAAATTCAAGCATTTGAAATGAGTAGTTGCTGAAAAACTGACACCAAAAATTTGCTACTGACAGACACATGGTCAGACAGACACCAAAAATTTGCTACTGACAGACACATGGTCAGACAGACACACAGAGATGAAACAATATACCACCCTCTCCTTTGAAGCACATGGGATGGGGGATAATAACTACTGTAGAAGTTCGGGCTATACGGACCGTGGATATCGGACTGAATAGCTCAGTGGTTAGAGCACCTGACAAGTAATGCAGGGGTCCCGGGTTCGATTCCCGGTCCAGCCATATGTTTTCTTCGTGCATTTCTCCTTTCCTATTACATTTCGTGGCCAGTGTGGGGGGCTTTGTTCAGGTTACAGTGTTTGTGTAAATTAGTAATGCAGGGGTCAGGGGTTCGATTCCCAGTCCAGCCAAATGTCTTCTTCATGCATTTCTCCTTTCCTACTACACTACATTTACATTTATTTATTTTATAATACTTTCAGCTACATAGAATGTTACATGTATTTTCAAATAATTTATAACTTGGTTTAATTTTTGCATATTTTAATTTTTTTGCAGGTAATTGAACAATCTCTTAAAACTGTCAAGTAAAGAGTCAGAGCAATTGTAGATACATGCACAGAAAATGAAGAAAAAACTCTACTTAAACCATGGCTTCGATATCAACATAAAATAACTTCTTTTCTCAAGTATATCTCTTTCCCAAGTATTCCAAAAGTGGATCTTTATCAAATTCAAAGTGAAGTATCACAGGGAGCATGAGAGATTGTGAAACAGTCTGCCTACAAAAATTAAAAAGGGAGGAAAACATATACACTTGTACCTAAGATGGTTGCACACTATTGTTCTCTATATATTTTCCTTATAATTTTCTTGTACAGTCTTCTGTGTGATTGTTAAGTTGGGTGCAGTAGTAGACTTCTCCTAACCTTGTGTAGAATTTTACAATTTAAATTCTGAGGTACAATCCTGTTTTTAGTGTTCATTCAGTTATAGTAATGAGCCACTCTCCTTTTTAACAGCTTGATGTCAAAATATCTCTCAACATTGAATGCTTATCAAATTGTTTTAACCGAATAAAAACGTATATTCCCAAAACCAGATTTGTTCTTTTTTTAAAAAACAACCTCTTTTTAGCTCACCTGAGCCAAAGGCTCAAATGAGCTTTTCTGATCAAAATTTGTCTGTCGTTGTCGTCATCGTAAACTTATCACATTTTCATCTTCTTCTCAAGCACCACTGGGTCAATTTCCACCAAACTTGCCACAAAATATCCTTGAGTGAAGGGAATTAAAGTTTGTTTAAATGGAGGACCAAGCCCTCTACCAAGGGGAGATAATTATAAATTAATGAAATATTAATGGCATCTTTTAAAAATCTTTTCAAGAACCATTGGGCCAGGAAAGATGAAACTGGTATGGAAGCATCCTCAGGTAGTTTAGATTCAACTTTGTTTAAATCATGACCCCCAGGGGTAGGGTTGGGCTACAACTGAAGATCAAAGATTTACATAAGAATATATAGGCAAAATCTTTGAAAATCTTCTCCAGAACCACTGGGCCAGGAAAGATGAAACTGATGTGAAAAAATCCTCAGGTAGTCAGGTAGAGTACCAGTAGATTCAAGTTTGTTCAAATCATTACCCCGCAATGGACGATTTAAGTTTTTCACAGGAATGAATACACTGGAAATTTTTAAAACTCTTCTTTTTAAGAACCACAAAGCCATGATTGGTCATATATTTAAGTAAACATCCTCACGTAGTGTTGATTCAAGTTTGTTCAAGTCATGAACGGGAAGTAGGGGCTGGATATGGTGGGCCATAACTGGGGATCAAAGTTTTGCCTAGAAATATAAAGGAATTTTTTTCCCCCAAGAACAGAACAGTCATGTTTAATCATTTTGAAATGGAGGCATTCTCAGGTAGTACAAAGTCATACAGGTTTAAATGAGGGCTCCCAGGGATAGTGCTGGACCACAATGGGGGAGGTCAAATGAATGAATAGGAAAAAAAATCATCTGCGCAGAAACAGCAAAGGCATTTGTTTTATGGAAGCATCAGGTAGTTGGTAATTTAAAATTCCAACCCCCATGTAAACTTCTCAATACTGAAATCATTTCTGCGTTATTTCCTAGCCAATGTGCTCAGGTGAGCGATGTGGCCCATGGGCCTCTTGTTAATGAAAAGTATTGCTACTCAAAGAAACGACCTGTCTCAATGAATGTACAGGTGTGTGAAATATGAAAGCACTGGCACAGTCGTGGCTAAAGTTAAATGTGGGTCAGACTCCAAGGTCAAGGTGGAAAGGTGAAATAAAAGGTACAAACGAGAAGGCCTTACAAGAAACACACAAGTGAAATATTAAAGCACCAATTGTTATAAATATATGGCCATGGTTAATGCTTTTCAAAAGTACATCAACATCCAAGATCAAAATGTCAATATTGTTTTATGTTTGGGGAGGCCTTGTTGAATTGAATACAATTATGAAACATGAAGGTCCTAATAGGAACTACTCAAAAGTTATTCCCAAGGTTAAAGTGGGTCAAATTCCAAGGTGAAGGTCAAAAGGTAAGATATATATTTTATAAATTCATATATCCATGCAAAGGACCCCTAGCACAAAATTTCACGTGTTATAGACAAGGTAAAAATTGGGTAAATTCCTCCGAAACTGGTCATACTCCAACGTCAAGATATCAAATATTTTGGTACACAATGAAAGATCTTGAGGGAATACATAAATTATGTTGAATATGAAAGCCATAGCCGCAACAATATAAAAGTTATGGACAATGTTAACGTTTTTGTGGACAAATAAACAGAATGGTTGAGAGGTTTTTTTAATGTGTTTGTATTTTTCATTTTAACAAAAAAATACACTTTAAAACTTGACGTTCAGTTGTGACGCGGCGACACCCCCTATGCTCTATATTTTAAACATCTATAAAATAAATTCAAATAAACATAATTAAATGAGAATTTCAATTTAATTAGATTTGTATTTGTGCATCTTTTGGTATATTGTATTTGATAAAATGATGCCAAATATAAAAGATACGGACACTGTGACACTACTTTTGGATCAACCCTCGTATAAACACAAGTAAATCTATCTTTAAATTTTTCTGATGTTGCCATGGCAACGATTTTGAAAGTCAATTATTAATAGTAGCTGGTAATTTAAAGTGTATTTTCAATGGTTAATTAGGATATATTCCTTTTAATTACACAATAAGATCAAATCAATTGAAATTCAGGTCATTTAAGTAAATTTAAAATGATGCTGAGTATGCACACCAGTGTACTCGGGTATACCCTAGGTTAGGGTTAGGGTTAGGGTTAGGGTATGGGATTAGGGTTAGGGTTAGGGTTAGGTTAGAGTAAGGGCACTTTGACGTGTTGTGTGTGCGGGATTGCGGGACTTCGCCTATTTTATCACGTGATTGTCAATCATTTTATTGTGAAAGTAGGTGTTTTCTTGCAAGATTTCAGTCGATTTGGACGTATTTATACTGTTGTGTTTTTAATGGGTGATTTTCTTGATGTAAGGTAATATTTAATTTGATTTTTTAATTGCTAATTTTCATGTATTGTTTGAGTAAGCAACGACATCTTTTTTAAGGAAGTAATGCATAATGTTGCCTTAGTATACTCTAGGTATACCCGGATTTATACCAGGGTATACCCGGGTTTTACCCAGGGTATACCCGGGTTTTACCCAGGATAATCAAGGGTTAAACCCAGGATATACCCGGGTATAACCCAGGGTATACCCGGGTTTGACCCAGGATAATCAAGGGTTAAACCCAGGATATACCCGGGTATAACCCAGGATATACTCCGGTATAACCCAGGATATACCTGGATATTACCCAGGTATAATCAAGGATATACCTGGGTTTAACCCAGGATAAACCCGAGTTTAACCCAAGATATACACGGGTTTAACCCTGGTTAAACCCGGGTATAACCCAGGGAAAACTTGGCCGTGCTACAGGGTGAATATTATTGTGAAACCCAGGTATACGATGTGTTTACTTTGGTTTTCTACAGTT